TAATAATAGGCTTTTCTAATAGGGATACCCCTGTATATCAAGCACACTTTTATCATTACCATAGCGTACGCTCGATCTAAAGGCCCCAATATTAAGCCTTTTTATTTGTAGACGCCGATATAAAGCACACGTTCAAATGCCGGTAGCCTTCTTTCCGCTGTTATTGAAATATGTGCCTACCTGGGAACTCAGTGAATGTAACTGCATTACTGCTGCGTACTTTCGAAATATTGCTTCCAGGTACACATACACGATTGGTAGAGAATTATTAGGGTTCCGCATTTAATGTGTACGAGCGAAAAAGAGGGAGTAACCCGTATATTAGAACGAGAGCGCGAACGAAATGAACGCAGACACGTTGCTGTCTCTCTGGTTCACAATGAATATTTGACCACAAAAGTTATCTGCCGATCCTGTATGTCAATATCTAGTTAGAAATGACTGAGATGTGTGGATTGTTGAAGCACGTGAGGCACTGTTCCTATCCGATTTAAATATTTCCAATTAGATTTAGGATATGTTGAGCCTCGAATAGTTCAAACTGTGACTCACTACGAATCTAAACTTGTCAAACATACAACATTGCCCCTGCTTAGGCACGAAAAGGAATTTATTACGATCTGGAACAAACCAGTATCCTTAGTATCTGGTGGGTTATCTATTATTTAAAGAGCTCTATCTTTTATTCGTGAACAATGTGCATTTTCCACTTTTATATTTTTCACTACAGTGCACGGACATTATCCTAACAGCCATATGCTTCTATGTTCTCTCACGATCCACGAAAATGTTTTCATTATGAGTTTCTCTATTGTGTCTGCCAATTTCAAAAATGTTTTGTCATAATAGTTTATTCTACCTATGATACCCTTGCCGAAACATCCCCTAATTCCAAGTGGGCCCTTGAAAAACCTAGTTATGGCGTCCCTTGACGAGATGTATTAAATGCGCTGATTGTCGTACCATCTCACAGTACAATTTTTTTTTTATTCTTTCTAACATAACGTTTTTTGTTGTTGGAGAGAGAACAGTACGCCCTGAACTCTACCACATTTATCAATATAAAAATAATATATATCTATACATTAACAAAACAAAAACAAGGTTTCTCTATAATATATGAGCGCCTAAGTTTAAAAACTTGTATGCGCAAAAACAGTCCAAAACAGTAATTAATTGATAAATATCGTGCAATATATATTTTTGTATAAAATCACACAACAATACCAACAAAACATGAAACACGAGATAGACAAAATGAAAGAAAATTTCATATTTTTGTTGTAAGTCATAGATTTAACTTAAGATCACAGAAAAAAAGTATCACAATCATATCAAAAAGAAAGAAAAGAAACAAATAGGCAGATCAATCTACCTCAACGCAACTTAAAATAAACGCATACATTATTCACGATTTACCCAACAGAACATTTTAAACGAAACATTAAATTTTCCTCTACGTTGTCTGTATACAATCCGTCGTTTCCCTTCATTTCAGAATTAGTCAAAACGGTTCCAACGATATCGTACACCTAGAATATCTGTATTGACAAGCCAGTCTCCTTGTTGACATTCCAACCTGATTTTTTGCTCTTCTCCCCAATCTTTCTGACCTCTGTGCAGTAAATGCACGTGGTCTTCCACTTTTTGGAGGATTCAGACATGGTATTCCCTGCTCGCACTCCGCTATCGTCCGATAAATGGTTCTGCGTAAAATGTTTTCATTCTGTAATATCCGACAGATTTCAGCTTTGGGTACCTGCTCAACCAACTTTTAGATAATTCTTCTCATTTCTAATTTATACGATATCTTGAAGCTGACAGTGAAGTAAATAAACAAACTTTTGTTTCCAAAGGAAACTTGAGCCAACACTTTTCAGTCATACCTTTGAGCAATTGGATATTCGTGTAAATCTACTGGTGGCGAGACCTAGCATCAAACGCTGTATTTTGTGAAGTTAGGATTCTGGTCGGCAATATACTCCGACTTACTAGGCTTTTTGGACAGCTTCCTGCCTGATTCATATCCTAGTGCTATTTTTGCCACCAGTTCGTAGAAAAAGCGACGCCACTATAAATGGCGCTCCCACAAGTGGTTGCGGGTAACGTGCACGTCCTCTAATCTGCAAAACGCTTTCTCTGAAAGGGTTTTTATTTATATATCCCGCAGCGGGTTCAATGCACTCCAGCTTTCAAATGAAAAAAATTCGCACACAGGCAGGCGTTTTCGCAAGATCTCTGTCGCCCGTAAATGCATAGACGGAGGTTTAAGCGAGGGGCTGACCACTAAAACGTTTTGTCTTTAGTGCTGAAATTAAGGTAACGCCTGTACAAGCGCAATAACAGAAATTTTCTCAGGTCACCCTGGATTGCATCAGACCCTTGAGAGCTGAGTCCTCATTCAGTATTGATCGGCCCTTGGATTTTTAAACGATCAATAATGCACCGTTTAGTGACCTTCAAGTGCAGCTTTAACATTTGCATTCCACTGTGGACGACAGATGTCAACACAGGCTTTGAAAAATATGAAGAGTTTTAAAATTTTTGAAATATAGAAAATTTTAAAGATTGTGACAAAATTGAAAATTAAAAAAAAACGCGCATCATTGTTAAGCCGCGTACAGACCGAGATTCCAACGCAAGCCAAGGCACATGTGGTTACAGATTTGGAGGTGTTCGAATCGGTGTTTACGGCGCGAGCCAACATAAGCCAACAGTTTCCAAGACCGGCGATGGCATTCGATTGCGATCGCTCCTTGATCGGTACATCAAAGGGAGGTTTGATTTGGTCTGCACAGGATTTGTTGCGCTTCGAGTATTTAGTTGTTTGTTTGCATTCGATAAGAGGAGACTTGGCGCTCGACTTTAGCACCGAACTTAACCCAACGCGGTCCAACTTGAAACTAAATTTAGGTGTAGGCGAGAGCATTTAAATACCTTTGAACAACAAACTCCAACCTCACATGTTCTTGCATTCGTTTGGTCGACGTTGGGTTTTCGGTTTGTACGCAGCTTTATGAGAAACGTAACTGAGGTGGATTTGCTCCAAACTTTGGAACTGCATTCTTCATGTCATGCTGATCAAATGTTCTCGTTGGTCCAACTTTTTTAAGCGACCCAAAGGATATTGAAAGTTTAGGCCCGTATCGTCAGTCGTCGCTACAATTGTAGGGCGCCTTTATGGCCTCCTTGATTGTCATAGTTTTCTACTTCTCCGTGTCAGCGCTCTATTTTGAGGTTATGTCACAAACATCTATTTACATCAAATTGTGCTTGCTTTTGAGTTATATCATATTTTATCAGCCTGAAATTTCCTACAATTTAAAAAGAAAACACATCTTCACAATAGAAGAGCGCTGACGCTGACACGGGACAGGTGCAATCTAGAAATTTTTGATATAGAGAAAGGAGTATGACAATCAAGGAGGCCATAAAGGCGCCCTACAATTGTAGGGACGACTGACGATACGGGCGTTAGTTAAACAGTAAGTCTATAAAGTCCATAAAATTCCTTTTCTAGCTAAGCACATGGCCAAAACATGAGAATGACCTAATTACCTCACAAATAGCTCAAAGTAGCTGCTATTGCAAGTTGTATCAATTGTTATTTCTGTCTTGCCCCTTGCAACCCTTCAAAGTCGGAGAAATATCCTTTACGAGGGGGTATTTATTTAAAAGCACCATTATACCACAATAAATTAAGTTTTTTATCATTATCTCAAATATCCAACAAATCAGTTAGTTAACATTTTCAATGATGCAGGTAACTAGTTTGAAAAATTGGGTGTCTCGGTGAAATAAGTTAGTTGTCACCAAGATCTGGCCATAACTGATGAGATTTTTGCTGTCTATTGCCGTAACAGGTTGGTTACCACCTAGATCTTGCCATAGTTGGATATGACGCAGGTATTGTTTTAATAAATTACCTGCTTAAAATCAATGGAAAACATGCAAAAGCTCAGTTTCAATGCAAAAGCTCATAACCGATCTTTTGACGGGTTACGGTATGTTTAGTGTTATTGTGTCCTGACTCAGTTTTCTGAAAACTGAAAACCTTCTCTGATTTAATTCAATCAGAAGCTACGCTCTTACTAAGTAAGGGAAAGAGATGGAACCCAAAGCTTTGCTTTCGTTAAAAACATATTTCACTCAGATCGGTAGTACCAGTACATATCTGGATGCCCCTCATAGGGGGTAGTTTTTTTTTACTTGGGGTTGAAACACGTTAATCGAGCCCAACTTAAATAAACGCCATACTCGAGTGAGAATAATATGTTTACGTCAAAAACATATTTTAGCCAGCTTAGTAGTCTTAGAATGCAGTCCACTCTTCCTATAGCGGTTAATTTTTTATTGCAAAAGGAAGGAGCACATAGGTTGAGCTAAAATCAGATAGGTACCTCAGAAAAATTGATGAAAGGCTATTGCATCGACAATGTGATATAATACTCGTAGTGCGTTTCGTGGAATACCCCAATAACGTTTCCTATAAAAGCGGTGCGTGGACTTTAGAAAATTTGAATATATTGAAAATATAAGTAGTTAGGGGAATTAGAATTTTTTTTAATAAACCCCTTACTGCATACTATGCCATATTTGGCACACATTCAAATTATTTTTTTTCCAAGTTCCTAAACAGTTTAAGACGCAAATTCAAGTTGTCCCATATCGGGCACGCTCGCTTCTTTATTGGTCAAACGCTAAATCCCCGCCACCCGCGAAGGCGGAGATTTGATGTATCATTCAGTGAACAGCGGATCGGTGACATGCACTAACCTGTTTGCGTTTACTTAGGATACTACATAATTTTGTTTTTTTGGCATTTCTAGAGTGGAAAAAATCATTTTTATGGAGATAAGTGTCCAGTATGTTTAGATATGTCGTGTAAATTCCTTTTTTTAATAAAAACGTGACAAAAACTGCCCTTGTTTACTTGTGCCATATTTGGAACAATATGAAATAAAGAAATAATATTCTTTTAACGGATTTTTCTTTTTTAGATGGATTGCAAGAAATTTTACGGTACTACACATATACAAATCCCAGTGACTAATTGGAGTGATGATGAAAATTTATCTTCTGATGATGACCATCGGAAGAGTGAACTAATAAATCTCAAAAAATCCGAAATATTTAGTGAATCGTTATGATATGCGTCAATAGCTGGATACTGTGGAGACGACACTTGAAAAATAATGATTTATACTTACCACTTTCAGAATTCAAACTTGCTATTGCAGAAGATATGACCAGAGCTTATACTTTAGAAAGAAAAAGAGGGAGGCCAAGTAGTGGTTTACAACCTCAACTTGACATAAAGAAAAAAAATATCCTTTCTCGCAGATTCCTGCTCAAGAAATAAGAACTGACAACTTGAATCATTTATCAGTAGTGAATGAAGAACGACAGAGGTGCAAATATCCAGATTGTAAAGGAAAATCTCAAATATCGTGTGGCAAATGTTTAGTATTTCTATGTCTAAATAAGGATCGCAATTGTTTTAATAAATTCCACAAAGAATAGTGCACGCTTGTCAAATTTGTACCAAAGTTGATACGTGTTAAAAATTAAAATTATTTACTTCACCGCAATTTGTGACAAATTTGGCACAAGTCAAAATTTGGCATTTATTTGTCTGAAATAAACGATGAATATTTTTTTAAATATTTTTCCGTAGTTTTAATGGCTTAATAGTATCACATATATTTTTTACAATAAACAAAAAATGCATGCAGTAAGGGGTTAGTAAATCATGACAATATTCAGATTCTTGAAATTTGTATAATTGATGAAATTATGAAAATATTCAAAACCTGTGGTACAGTCTCCTGTGAAATCTGCAGCCAACTCCTAAAGGCCGTCTATGAATGTGAACCTAAGGCACCTTTCCCATTTGTAAGTTCCATATCGCTAGGCAGTAAAAATGTCCGGCACGTTACTCACAAATGGGAAAAGCAACATGTCCAAAACTTAATCTAGATCAATAATATGCGAGAAAACTGGTACCTACTATCTCCGTGGTGGTACGCTTATGGTGCTGTTCTGTCGAGTGCAACGCATGACATTTAACCTAGAAATTGGACAATGCAATTTATTGGGGTTCCGCCATTACGCTAACGAATTATGATTGTTCTTTTCGCGCCCGAGACTGCCGTCATAGAGAGGTGGTTGAACCCAGCCTTAGCTGAGTGTTCTGCATGTGTATATTTATCTGCACGACCTTCTGTGAGATGCAGCTTAGGTTTCGTCATTGCTCGAACTGCTCGCTGCTTACCAGTTACGACATCTCGTTTAATGATTGGAGCCATTACCGTGATTACCGATACAGCAATGTACACAATGTCCCAAGATAAAGCTTGTCTGGATTTTAACTTTCACGAGAGGCCTAATAGACCACATACCGTGGACACCGCACAGTATACTCTCCTGAATACTTTTGAGCACCACCTGTGGCAACGCCACCTGAGGAAAGCGATCCTAACTAAGCTATCATGATTCCTGATATAAAACTATTTAACCACAACAACGCCCCCTCATCAGTATGTATTATATACACCACGTTTTCATACTCTTATTACTGCCAATGACTGATTTTTTTGCCGTTATATCGAAATCTCTAAAATAAGTTAATTAGTTAAATAGTTTATTAGCCCTTGCTTTTAGGAATATGTGACAAGATAACAAAAAAATGCTTTTTCTGATATGGCTTAATTCACTGCTGTTATACTATACACATTTGCAATCGATTTCATTGTTACATGCGCGAATATACAGGGTGGCTGCGAAAGAGTGGGAAATCTCGAAACTGAAGATACAACAGACCAAAATATGTGAATTTACCTAAACATTCCTCAGTCCAAAAGTTGATAGTTTGCGAGATAAAGTTACAATTTTATTTTCTATTTTTCCTTATTGCTTGAGAAGTATTTCAGATTTCGGCATAAAACTCTGTATAGGCAGGTTTTCTAGTACGAGAAACAAGAATCCGTCATTTTTTATGACCAAACTTCTAGAAGGCGCCACTTACAGCACTATTTCGGTAAATAACTTATCATAACTTTTTTGTGCTACCCTGTATACAACAACTGACCGAAAAATACTATTATCTCTTATTTCCACAACAAAAAAGGATAACTTGTTAAAAGTGCCTAAAGCTAATAGTTTTCGAGATATTTGTTTTTAAAAGTGCCAGCGCATTATTTGTAGCATGATAAAACATTTTTATAACATAATAATCGGGTTGCTTTGGATAATATCTGAGTAGCGTTGCTATGGTTTTTAATGTTTGTCATAATATTGCTTTAAACTTCATGAATGATTTCAAGTTGACAATAAGTCGTTAAACATTTGATGAACATTCTGATATGTATTTAATTTACAGATTGGCAAGATGAAATGCTTTAAAAAACAAATATCTCGAAAACTATTAGCATTAGACACTTCTAACAGGTAAGCTTTTTTTGTTGTGGAAATACGAGAAATACATGAAAACGGTCAGCTGTTGTATACAGGGAAGCACAAAAAGTTATGACAAGTTATTTACCGAAAAGTGGCACCCACTGGAAGTTTGGCCATAAAAAATAACGAATTCTTGTTTCTCATATTAGAAAACCTCCCTATACCCAGTTTTATGTCTAAATCTAAAATACTTCTCAAGCAATAAGGAAAAATAGAAAGGTTTGTTTAGGTCAATTCACATATTTTGGTCTTTAGTATCTCCAGTTTCGAGATTTCCTAACCTCTCTCATATACACTGTATAGTTCGTCGGTATTTTTGCCTTTAGACTGTGTACATCCAAAGCAGTCTTTTAGTAGTTGTAGCTATTGACCTTTCGCATGGCGAACTCTATGTCACAGACACACAGCAATGCACAATAAAAAATTACCGTAGTGTTGAGCAACTATTGTAAACGTTAAATCAAATACTACATTCTCTTGAAGGTAGACAATTATATTCGAATTAAAATGTACGATTGGGATTACATTATTTAAAAACCCCGATTGCAAAATTGTTTACCGATACTGAAACTATACTGACGGTTACTTCACAAATCTTCGTTTCCCGATGACTGTTAACGCGACAATCTTTTGAATCACTAAATTCATTAGGATAACGTTGCCGGACTTCTTTCAAATTCTCTCCCATTTGCGCCCAATTCTTTCATGCACAGTAACACTATATCCTCTTAATTTCCTAAACAAATCTTGCCTGCTATTGATGGTATGTTTGCCGTACGTTTTCCATTTGGACTCCTTTTAACGGTATAATTTTAATAGCTTTCAGTATGTTTCAATATATCAAACATTAATTCCATCCGTTCTTCGATGTTTAGTATTGATGTCGTTTATCAACTTTTTTTAATACAAAAAAAATTGATATTTTTACTAAGTGAAGCATATTCAATTCCACGAAAACTAGACAACGTGAAATACTTTCCATACTGTGAAGCTATTACGAAGCTAACTAAGCTAAGTAAGTCTCAAAGGTTTGGTCAGGAAGACTTTCTATTCCAATTTGAGGAAGTTCGAGATAATTGGGTTGTATTTTATTTTGTCATAAACGTGCATTAAATAGACAAATAAATATAGAACAACTCACAGAATGATCAACTTGAGCTTGTATAGTTTACCTTTTCAGATCAATTTACATATCAACGAGTCAATATAACGTAGTTCGAGGTGATCCAAGAAAATCCATGGCAATCCAAAAAGTTCTGAGGTTATCCAAAAAAATCCAAGAGAACTCAAAGGGATTTAAAATAATCTTAGGGAAGGAAATCTTCTTCCAGTAAAGCATCCGCGATTAGCCTCTCATTGAATGTGGAAAAAACCTCATCTGGGTGCTCTGAAAGAGAGCCAAGAAGAACAAATCCTTGGCCTGTAGGCAGGGAACGAGACCATGTGTTAAAAAGGTATAATTGATTAGTCGAGTAGCCCTCTTCTCATCATGTGGGCCTTCAAAAATTTTGAATTTGAATCGACTATAAAAAAGAAACAAACATTTTTTCAAATTTCTGGTTCTAGTGGAAACGATGAATGACGTTCGTGTCATTCTATTCAACTTTTTGCATTAGCTTTTCCTTGCGATATGTGGATTCTCTGATTCCCAAATGTGACAATTTTGCTTATACGCATAGTTATCGAGGTGAAAATGATTTTTATCTGTAAAGATAATTTTTCGGTAAAAATACTCATCTTCGGCCAAGCGATTTCCAGCCCATTGACATTTGGCGAACTGAAAACCGAACGGATGATCCCATTTCGTAAACGTCAAACGTAAAGTTTATTTATCGATACATGATAACTGAAATTTTAGCTTCCGATGCCAATATAACCATTAATTCAAATCCCATACATTAGATAACCCACCCTGTACATATACAAAAGTCTCTATTCCAACAGCAAAATCGTCGACGTTCAAACCAACTTGCATACAGAAAAAGCTTGACGTGAGGCATGAACGATGGTATAGCTAACTGACTCAACAATACCTATTAGCTGAAGCAAAAAATGGCAAGGGAAGGGGCATTAGCGGTATTTTTCTAAGCGGAGTGACGTTGATATGTTGCCTGGTGGTTAACAAACATCCAAGAGGTTGGCCGACGGCTCTGTTTTGCATACGACGAACCGGTCACTGCCATGTCGTAGATGGTTCACGCACGTTTCTGAACGAGAATGTCCGATTGGTCACTGGAGGGGTTCACGTCACGTAACTAGAGCTTTTGTCGTGATATTAGTCAGTAAATGCGCAATTTTTGTAGAATGTACTCTGTCGAAACAGAAAACAATGGCAACAAGCAAGATGACTCTGAAATTCCCAGGCAGCAACATTAGCCTGAAACTAACTTGGTTTAAAAACCCTTAATCAATCTTTCGAAGAAAACATATTTTAAATCTATTAATATTCATTTTTAGCCGATAATTATTGGTGTCCGACTGACGGCCAATTCTTTGGCTTAAGCCGCTTGCTTAGTTAATCAAACGTGGGTTGCGTGATGAGAACAGAGTGATAGAATAACAAACGTTTATGATCTTGTATCTATTTCTTATAAGTTGTGA